AAATCCCAGTACTGTTAACAAAGAAAAAAAAAAGGTAAAACAAAGATATAAGCTCAAAGCTCCAAGTTCAAACCCCAGTTACACCAAAAAATAAAAAACAAGAAAAAAATGATTGATTTAAATGGTAAGTTTTATACTGTACATATTTTACAATAAAAAGTATGACAAAGCTGGTCATGGGGAAGGCTGAGGCAGGAGGCTTACTAGCTGAAGGCCAGCCTGAGCTACATACTGAAATCTTGTCTCAAAAAAATAGGGAAAAAGTCAACATACAAATATTATCTGTATTTTACCACAATTTTTAAAAGGGCTGGTTAAGGTGCTGGGAGCCTGGCTCATGTGGTAGAGCACCTTCCTAGCAAGCACAAGGATGTGAGTTCAAATCACAGTACCACCAAAAACAAAAAACTAAAGGTCAGGCATGGTGGTTCACACCTATAGTCCCAGCTACTCAGAAGGCAGAGTTTGGGAGGACTGTGGTCAGAGCCAAGCCTATGAAAAAAGTTACCAAAACCCCAAACCCCATCTTAATAGAACAAGCTGGCATGGTTGGTCACACTTATAATCCCAACTAGCAAGAGGCATAAGTAGGAGGATCACAGTCTGAGGCTGACCCCAAGTAAATACACAAGACCCTATCTGAAAAACAACTAAAGCTAAAAAGGGGCTGGCGGCATGGCTCAAGTGGTAGAGCACCTGCCTACCAAGCATGAGATACTGACTTCAAAACCCCAGTACCACAAAAAAATAATAGTACTTTTGGATGGATTGCAAAAGAGGAATTTGGCAAAAGGAGACAGTGAGGTACCTCGTTTCCTTGACTGTTCATGCATATATGCATGACAAGAAAAAAAAAGGTCTCATCTAAAACTGATACTTTTCTATATTTATCCTATAATCCTTTGATCACTTAGTTGGAATACTTAATTTTTAAAAAATTAGCAACAAGATGCATGCTTGCTAATTATATTCACTTTGTTATTAGATGTAAGTTATTTAAACTATTTAGCAAAAAAATAACTATCTTAAGATCCTAACCCCCTGTGTACACAATATACCCTATTTAATTCCTACCTGTTAAAATGTTTCCACTTGAACCATTTAGAAAGAATAAGGAAGTGTTTCGAACACACAGTTTAAATTTAAATGTTTCCTAAACAGTAAAGGTATCTTTTATCAAAACTAGTTAAAAATTTGGGGTTTATAATTTAAAAACAATAAATATAAATAGGGTTCAAAGAGAAAACAATGGGAAAATAAAGCAAACTATGATTCTTAAACAGTGAGTTTACTATTCCACCTCTCAGAAAATAAAAACACCACGACATGCAATATAAGCCTTTTCTTAACCTCTTAAACCATTCTCTGTTCACCTTTTTTTTTTTAAGGAGGGAAAGGCTGAGTCTGGGAAGGTACAATAGGAATAAACCAAATAATAGATACAAAAAAGAAAGAAAATCACTGTCTTTCACACTGAATCTTAAAAAACATCATCATAAAATGTTAACAATCCCACATTCTGAGGAGAGCAGGTAAAAACCAAATTTCATGGAGTAACAACCTAATCCAAAGCAAAAGAGAAGGAAACTATCTTCAGGCTTACAGATAAAATTAAACTATAAATTAAGGGTGCATGCTGAATTCTTTAAAAAGAAAAACAAAAAAAGTAATACACAGCTGTAATTAAATATGGTGACATGAACCTTGGTCAAAGGGTGGAGCACTAAGTTCTTTAATAGCTTTCTAGCCTAAGAATTGAGATCAGCTAAAGAACTTTAAACTCAAGTGTTTCACTAAATATAGAAAACATCATGGTTTTTATGAGACACCACATGATCCAGAGGGACAACTACACTGGTAGATAACATCTGATAATAACGAAGAGTTTAAAGATATAACTTCTTGACACTGTATGTGATATTTCTATGAGGAAAACAGTGAAAACTTGGGAAGAAGCTAATTTATCTTTTTTAAACTCCAAATAATCCTGTAAAACTGCCCATCATTCCAAGAGTTCTTGTGATCCCAGTAACAAGTGTGAAAATCACCAAACAGTTTTCCCCAAAACTTAGCCTTAATTTTCTTTTAACTCCCTCTTCTGTGGTTGCCACTGTTCCTAAACCACAGGCCTTCCGGACAAGCGGCAGGGCCAAGCCAGATTATGGTTATGTGGTAGGTTCTGTCAGGCAAGCTTTGACAAGGCCTCAAAATAGATCCTGGGCACCAGCCAGGGAAACTGCCACTCATAAGCTGGAACTTCATCATACTTGAGCATGTCACCATTTATCTTTCTCTAGTCTCTCTCATTTCAAAAGGACAAAGGATCCTAAACCTCCTCTTTTCTTGGCCATGTGTGACCTGTGTAACATCAAAACTAAAAATTTAGACCTCCCTTACTCTATTCACACTTTGGAGAATAGACTGAATCTGTACCTACTTCTTGCCTTGAGAAATTAATCCATCAGTAGTACCTTGGATTGCAAAAGGATTCTTTGGATCTCAAGCTCCACAGAGGTTTACTTTTAGTACAGAAGGATGTGGAAGGTAAAAGAAGAAGACAAAGTGGACTATTTATTTCTCTTATAAAGAGACTAATAGTATTAGCCTCCTTACTGGGGGAAAAAGTTAAACTACATACAATGTTATAAACTGACACAAAACACAAAATTCTGAAACAACCTATAATATGTAGCCATTTAACTACTACCAAATATAAATGATTTATACATGACATCAGTCTGCAAACTATAGTATTTCTACTTTTACCACCTGACATTCGAAAATGTCTTAACTTTTAAACTAACTAACTTATAAAACACACTAGGAATTCTTTTTTTTTTTTTTTGAAACAGGTTCTCACTATATGCTCCGTAGGCCAAACTGGACTTGAACTCCCAATTCTTCTCCCTTAGCCTCCCAAGTACTGGGATTACAGAGGTGCACCACTGTACCCATCTCATATTTTTTAAATGAAGACATGTATAAAGAACACAAACTAATTAAGAAATTCCTTCTCCTTTAAGTCTGAGAAAGGAGTTAACTCCTACTATAAAGTACTTAAATCCCAACCTCAGTCACACATTCAAAAATAAACTCTATATACATACTTAAAACTAGTGCAAAGACAAGCTTTTCATTATAACAGTGTTTTCAAAAGGCTGAAAACAAACTAAATGTCCTTCAATATGAAATGATAAATTATGGAAATGAGTAAATTATGATTCACCTACAACCATGCAGGAAATCCAGTCTTTTAAAAAAAATCAGATAGACATTTGTGTTAATATAGAAAGATCTATAAGATACAACAAGGGTAAGAATGAAAGGTACAAGGTACTTCAAGGGGTTGGACTCAGGGATTCACATTTGCTAGATAAGCATTCTACCACTTGAACCACTCCACCAACCCAAAAGGAGACTGTTTGTCATATAATTTTTTTCTTTTCCAGTGTTTTATCAATTTTAAAAAGTTTCACAAATGTTTATTGAACCCACAAAGTCAGCATTTCCTTTTATATATGCCATTTCTTTCTTCTTCCTAACCATCTCTACTTTTAACAACTGCTTTCCCTACCATTATACTAAAACAAAAGCATATAGCATAGCAAGTAAGTCTCAGAGACTCTCCAAGACAGAATTCTCTCTTGGTTCCCCCCCCTCCCCCGCCACCAAAAATAAATAAATCAAATGAAAAAAGTACAGCACATTTGATAAACCCAGTTTTTAGTCTAGTGTCTGATTCTTTTCAAGTCTAACTAATTTACTATAAAGCCAAAAAGTTTTTAAAGTGGAACTATAAAGTACACCACCAAAAAAAAAAAAATTCCTTTTAAAGTTTTAAATAATGGTTATAAAGTCTTTTTTTTTTTTCCTGGTGGTACTGGGAGTTGAACACAGTTCCTCGAATTTGCTAGGCAGATGCTCTACCACTTGAGCCACTCCACCAGCCTTGGTCAGAGTCTTCTCTTTATTTGCAAACTGGATAAAGTAGAACATTTCCCTAGTTAAGGGATTATTTCTCCATTCAGATCCTCCAGAGAGAAAGCAACTACCTAAAAGGAAAAGGCTATGAAATTTGTAGGTATAACAGACAACACTTCTAGGGTAAGGACAGAAGAATTTTATTTCCTTTTAAATTATCTTCATCAGCATTCCCAGAATGCTACAACAATTTTTTACCTATACATCATCAACTCTGTTCCTTTTCACAATGGAGCAACGTAACCAACTCACAGCTTTGCAAGAAATTGCTCCCTTTCTTGCTAAATTCATTTCTAGTAGATTTGTTTTTGTTTTGAAAGAGATACTTGGCCAAATATATATTCTGTATCTTTTTTTTCTTCATTTTGGAGATATTTAAATGCTGACTTAAGGTTTTTCTTGCATAGTTACATATTAAAACTATTTGTTATAGCGGTTTCCACAACGGATTTTCCAAAAGCAAATCTCTGTTCACAGAAAACTGAAACTCCTAAGTCATTATCATATCAGCAGGACTAAAATCAAAAGCAACATTAGGGAACACTCTGAATATAAGAATGGTTGGCTATCCAAAGTTAAAAAAAGATGCCAAAACTTAATCAAACAATTAAAAGAATGTCCTGGGCAAGACCAACAGAATAAACTTGCCATTACTTTATAACGAACCAACTGAAGTTCTTTATAATTGCAAATCAAGGTAAAATAAGCTGGATTTTAAGGAAAAAAAAAAAAGGCTATGAGCATCAAAAACACTGTGATTCAAAGTTGTTTTAGTGTAAAAACAGTGTGAAAGTCAAAAATAAATTAGATTTCAGCAACAATGAAGTCATTTCTTCTTTAAAATTACTCCATTCCAAAAATTAATCACAACTTCAATACACATTTTGTTATATAACAGAACTTAAGTCAGTATAGTTTCATTCTGCATTTTTAAGGACAAAATGGCAAAAATGGGTGAGCCTTTCCACTGAAAAGTCTATTTTGTATAGTGCAAATTCTTTCAGTGAACTTCTTCATACCTTAGTGATGGTAGTTCTCCTTTCCACTGACATTTAGTTTGCTTCTAAAACCCTTCATTTATCTTCCCGCATCTGGTTACGAAAAAAAAAAAAAAAAGAGGGGGGGAGGGGTTGAAATCACAATAATCCGCTTAGTAACTATTCTAAATCCAGACAGTTTTAAAGTTTTCAGTTTTTATTTCCTTACCATGTTTCATGACAATAACCATCCAGCAACAAACCTAACAAAAATTATACAACACTTCCTATAAAATGAGTAAAGACATCTAATTAAATAGGCAGAAACAAACAGCTTTCCTCTATTTCAATTTTAAGATCCATATCAATGATTAACAAAGTGAGTGACCTAACTTCCTAAATGAATCACACTTTCCGAAATTACTACTCTATATGAGCATATTATAATACTGTCATCATCTCTATTTGTTAAACAAAGCATGGTGTTTGCGAAATAGGGTTAATTCTAGGAGACCTTCAAACCACAGCAGGGACTTGGGAATCCCTGCAACTCTGTATTCTCCAAAAACTGCACCTTTTCCTACAGATTCATTCCCCAAATAAAACGTGACTTTAAACAATATGTTAAGCACTGAATTAAGAATTTAACCTATCCATAAGAACTTATGTGTCCACACCCTGCTCTTCATCTCCTCATTCCATTACATCTCTTCCCATTATGATAACATAAAAAATGAACAGCCACTCTGTTATCCTTACATACCGTTTTTAAAGTCAACCTACTCTACAGTTTTTCTGTTTACGGCAGAAATGCTGAGTCACTAATTGGAAAATCGAAGAAAAGCAGTTACAGACAAGTTTCAGGACACAGTATTCCCCTAAGTACGTCTCAGCCGTTAAAAGTCTGCATTTTCCAAGGTTGGAAGAAATGAAGCAAACACCTGAACTTTTTTCTCTGGACTTCCTTCGGTCCTCCTGCTTCCGCTGGACATCCGCAGCAGGGCGAAGCCAGGCCTGACCGGAGCATATAGCTCAACAATCTGGGTGCGAATAATGCATTCCCCATAGGAGTCAAGCATTAATCCTGACCCTCCGAGCAAGCGCTGTTCAGCCCGCGCTTCCGTGGAGTTGCGAAGCAGAAGAAATCCAATTAAAAACCTGTCCCTCCCCCGGCCTGTCAAGGTCCCGGAGTGCTCTGCCGGGACAGTAGCCGAGGGAGTGTGTCGCGGGAACACGGGAGCCTCCTCCCCGGATACCCGAGACCGAGGGACAGCGGTCCGATTTAATCCCCCACAATGGGCGTAACGCTGTCCCCGCCGAGCGCGGGTGGCGGCCGAAGACGCCAGAGGCGGCGGCCGGCTAGAGCGACCCCGACCCCAACCCGAGCCCGTGAAGCCCCACCAGGCTCCCGGCAGCCGGCCCAGCAGGGGAGGCGGAGGCCGGGTGGGCCCCAGCTCCCGACTCCGCTGGCCGGCCACCGCCGGAGGCGCGGCCCTTACCTGTCTCTGGGACGGGCTGTGGCTGCGGCGCCGCCCGGGAAGGGCCGGAGCGCCGCGAAGGGCGAGGGGCGCGGCGGCCAGACTCGGTCCCGAGCCCCGCCAAGCAAGCGGGCCGAATGGACGCGGTGACTCTCCGCGTCCGTAGCAGGCCAGGCAGTACCGCTGGCGTATCCTCCCTGCCGCAATCCAGACCGCACGAACGCTAACCGCGACCAGCCGCAGCCCGAGCTGCGGCGGCGGCGGCAGAGGGGCGGAGGGCGAGGGGCGGAGCCCTGGGCCGGCGACCCGCTGACCCGGAAGCAGTTGCGGCGGGCGGCTGGGCAACGGCGCGCACTGTGGCAGCGGTGGAGCCGGAGCCTAACCCACTGCACACCCGGGCAGGCCCTTCTGCCAGCCTCATTTTCCCCTGGAGGAGCCGGTATTGTGACTTACTACGTGACCCTTCACCGCCGCACCTGTCCTGGTCGCCTCTAAACCGTCCAGCGTGGGTAAGTTGGACAGGGTGTTGGCTCAGACTGGAAAAAGGTGTGCGAGTCTAGGCATGGGTGAACCGCTTTTCCAAAATGAAAATGATTTTTAGAGAAGGATGCTTGGCGGGTAGGGTTAAAGGAGTTTAGTCTTTTTTTTTTGCCACGTTATCAGAGTTTGAACTCAGGGCCTGCACCTCGAGCCCCCTCCACCAGCCCTCTTTTTTTTTTGGTCTTTTCCGAGATAGGGTCTCGCGAACTATTTGCCGGGGCTGGCTTCCAGCTGTGATCCTCATGACCTCTGCCTCCTGAGTAGCTAGGAGTACCGGTGTGAGCCGCCATCAGCCGGGCGTGATGGTGTGCGCCTGTAGTCCAACTACTCGGGAGGCTGAGGCGAGATGATCGCTTTAAGCCCAGATGTTCGAGATCAGCTTTCCCAATAAAGCAAGACCTCGTCTCAAAAAAAAAAAAAATCTGATAGACGCGGGCCTGTCATTGATTCCGAAATCATCTATCAGGGCCCACCAGATTCAGGGTGCTGGGAAAGACCAGGTCCTGATCTTTGGAACCTTGCCTCCAGTAGGGTGGATAGAGTTAAGCAGAGGTAATTGTAGACAGATTGTAATAAGGCTGTGCAGGAAACAGTGATAAAGATTTTGTGGGCGGGCCTCTGGCTTGATAACATGGCTAAGAGAAGGCCTCTGGAAGGAAATGATAGCCTCCTAATGAAAAATAAATAAATAAATAATAAAGGGACTGCAAGCTCCACAAACCCCTGATTAAACCCATAGATTCCATGTTAAGGTTCGTGTCTCCAAAGCCTTCCAAGGGTTGTTTCCATACTGCCCACACCTCTGAAATCTAAAAGGCTTTATCATCCTTAGTTCTTGGGGCCAACACTATGGCACCAATACTAGAGGTTCAAGAGACAGGAAGAAGTGCACTCATCAGCTTGAAGAGACATTCTTTAACCTTTTTCTGTTTCTCTTCCTGTGTCACTAGTTTTCTTAGACCAATTAGTGAACATTAAAACTACAATTTTCACCTGGGATCAAGAAGCGCTTGATCTTCCTAACAGATTGATGACATCTTCTGCTAAATCAATTGAAGACAAAATTAAAAGCCTACTTCCAAGGGTGAGGATGTATTCAGGCATTAATGGTACCTGAAAAATGCCAGTAAACTCAATGTTTATTAAATACCGCATAAGTAATGGAAAAGTTATATAGGTAATTTTAAGGTTAGATTCTCTTGCCCTGTTCATTTTACTCCTAAGTCAGTTATTTTAGCTCATGCCAAACTAACAAATATTTTGCAGTGTCTTTTGGAAAAAACTGAGGGAGCTAACACTTTGTGAGTACTTACTATTAACACAGCATTGTACTTGGCACATAAATATGTTATCTCTTCCAATACTAGTACTAACCTTGAGATATAGATATTGTTATACCAATTTTAGTAACAAAGGCATTGAGATTCGGGGAGATTTTTACCTGTTTAAGGTTAAAAAACTAGTAGCTAGAAAACCTAATACTTGAACTCATATCCTTCTGGCCCTGAATTTCCCCACTTTCTTCATACTATGTTTCTTTGTCCTTTTTTTTTTTTTTAAAGGAGGTATTGTTATATTGCTCAGGCTGTCCCCAAACTCCTAGACTCAAGTGAGCCTCCTGCCTCAGCCTATAGCTGAAACTGCAGGCATGTACCATCTCATCCAGCTTACTTTAATATTTAAAGGAGACGGATGAGTGAAGAGTCCAGTCAACCAGGTTTCTGTACTAGTTTTTGGATTTTTACTGTGAAAATGTACTGTAACATAGAGTGTTATGGGCAATTTTAGAGTTTCTCTGTATTTTTACTTCTCCCTCACTATTTTCCATTTTTATGAGGAAAAAAAAACCTATTCCATTTGTCTATAATGTTATATGTGGTTTGAATGCTGCCAAGAATGTTGTAAAATATGACACTGATATTTGTCATTGCAAGGGCTTCCTAACTAAAGACATCACCCTGAGTTAACCACCTGGGCAGTCTTTCTTTGCGCATTAAGTATTTCTTTCTGCCAAAAATATCTTCCCAGATCTTTATGGAATATTCTGACATGCAAATACCCCCAGGTCTGTGTGAGCTGGCTGCTGTGGGGACATGTTAATAGATCAAGGAAAATTTTTCAAATGTTTTTACAGTTTGGGAGGATGACATAGTTGAATTTATATATTTTTGGGGTTTGGTGGTACTAGGGGTTGAACTCAGGGCCTTGTGCTTGTTGGGCAGGTGCCCTACCACTTGTGCCGTGCCCTCAGCCCTTTTTAAGTTGATTATTTTTGAGATAGAGTCTTGCTTTTTGCTACCACACCCAACCATTGGTTAAGATGTAGTCTCAAAACTTGGGTTTTTTTTTTTTAATTCTTATATTCATATGTGCATACATTGTTTGGGTCATTTCTCTCCCCCTTCCCCCCACCCTTTTCATTCCCCTCTCCCCCCATTACCCCTCCCTACTAGACAGAAACTATTCTGCCCTTATCTCTAATTTTGTTGAAGAGAGAGTATAAGCAATAATAGGAAGGACCAAGGGTTTTGGCTAGTTGAAATAAAAATAGCTATACAGGGAGTTGACATGCATTGATTTCCTGTACATGTATGTTACCCTGTAAGTTAATTCTTCTGGAACTAACCTTTTCACTAGTTCCTGGTCCCCTTCTCCTATTGGCCTCAGTTGCTTTAAAGTATCTGCTTTAATTTCTATGCATTGAGGGCAACAAATGCTATCTAGTTTTTTGGGTGTCTTACCTATCCTCATACCTTCCTTGTGTGGTCTTCCTTTATCATGTGATCAAAGTCCAGTCTCCTTGTTGTGTTTGCCCTTGATCTCATGTCCACATATGAGGGAGAACATACGATTTTTGGTCTTTTGGGCCAGGCTAACCTCACTCAGAATCATGTTCTCCAATTCCATCCATTTACCTGAGAATGATAACATTTTGTTCTTCTTCATGGCTGCATAAAATTCCATTGTGTATAAATAACACATTTTCTTGATCCATTCGTCAGTAGTGGGGCATCTTGGCTGTTTCCATAACTTGGCTATTGTGAATAGTGCTGGAATAAACATGGGTGTGCAGGTGCCTCTGGAATAACCTGTGCCACATTCTTTTGGGTATATCCCCAGGAGTGGTATTGCTGGATCAGATGGCAGATCAATGTTTAAATTTTTAAGTAGCCTCCAAATTTTTTTCTACAGTGGTTGTACTAGTTTACATTCCCACCAACAGTGTAAGATGGTTCCTTTTTCCCTGCATCCTCGCCTACACCTGTTGTTAGTGGTGTTGCTAATGATGGCTATTCTAACAGGGGTGAGGTGGAATCTTAGTGTGTTTTTAATTTGCATTTCCTTTATTGCTAGGGATGGTGAGCATATTTTCATATGTTTTATGGCCATTTGAATTTCTTCTTTTGAGAAAGTTCTGTTTAGTTCACTTATTCATTTCTTTATTGGTTCATTAATTTTGGGAGAATTTAGTTTTTTGAGTTCCCTATATATTCTGGTTATCAGTCCTTTGCCTGATGAGTAGCTGGCAAAAATTTTCTCCCACTCTGGGGTGTTCTCTTCAGTTTAGAGACCATTTCTTTTGATGAACGAAGCTTTTTAGTTTTATGAAGTCTCATTTATCTATGCTATCTCTTAGTTGCTGTGCTGCTGGGGTTCCATTGAGAAAGTTCTTGCCTATACCTATTAATTCCAGAGTATTTCCTACTCTTTCCTGTACCAACTTTAGAGTTTGGGGTCTGATATTAAGGTCCTTGATCCATTTTGAGTTAATACTGGTATAGTGTAAACATGTATCTAGTTTCAGTTTTTTGCAGACTGCTAACCAGTTTTCCCAGCAGTTGTTGAAGAGGCTGCTTTTTCTCCATCGTATATTTTTAGCACCTTTGTCAAAGACAAGTTGGTAATAGTTCTACGGCTTCATATCTGGGTCCTCTATTCTGTTCCACTGGTCTTCGTGTCTGTTTTTGTGCCAGTACCATGCTGTTTTTATTGTTATTGCTTTGTAATATAGTTTGAAGTCAGGTATAGTGATACGTCCAGCATTGTTCTTTTGACTGAGTATTGCCTTAGCTATTTGTAGCCTCTTGTGTTTCCATATAAATTTAATGGTAAATTTTTCAATCTCTTTGATGAATGTCATTGGGATTTTGATGGGAATTGCATTAAACATGTCGATTACTTTGGGGAGTATAGACATTTTTATTATGTTGATTCTACCAATCCATGAGCATGGGAGATCTCTCCACTTTCTATAGTCTTCCTCAGTCTCTTTCTTCAGAAGTTTATGGTTTTCCTTGTAGAGGTCATTCACATCCTTTGTTAAGTTTACACCTAAGTATTTGATTTTTTTTGAGGCTATTGTAAATGGAATTGTTTTCATATATTCCTTCTCAGTTTGTTCATTGTTAGTGTATAGAAATGCTAATGATTTTTCTATGTTGATTTTATAA